ATTAATTTGAAAATTTTATTTTATAAACTAAACATGTCTATGTAAATTATTCAAATAACAAAAACATACATATCCAAATTATCCAAATCAAACAAGTAAATACCCAAGGCTTTGAATGCAAGATTAAAGTGGTCCTTGCATGTTCTGTAATCTGCACTTCAAAGCTTGAGTACTACTAGAAGATAATGTTGCCATATGGAATAAGACTCCTTCACATCACCAATGGCCATTTTTCTAAAGGATATGCTTTCTATTCAATTCCAAAGCATATCCATTTAGTAGAACTCATATATAGCAGGAGTGGACATGATTAACAAGTACCCACATAGCGACACACAAAGTCCCCAAAGAGTTAACTGAAGATGCATTACAAGGCAACACCACCATTGGCAGTCTGCCGTCATATATATATTAGATGTGTTCTTTCTGAATGTACTAATGTATGGCGAGCAAACTGCCAAAGGAGATTTGCCCGGCAATTCTCTTGCAGTGTCATGTCGATCTCCACATTTCTCTGCGCAGAAGTCTCATTTAGAATCAATTCAACATGACATCTTCACAGAAAAATCATATAGTTATCATTTGATTACTGGTAGGTATTACTTATGTTCACTGAGTATGAACAGAGCACTATATTAGTCGCAGGCCTACATATATGCAATGGTAACATAAAAATCACTCCCAGCTGATATATAATTAGAAACACTGACATGACTTTAATCTATGGTCTGTCAACATATTGGACTTGGCTATCTACACACACAAAAACTTCGACCGGTTCCCCTGCCATTGCACTAAAAAAAAAGGTCGACAGGTATCATCTACGGAGTATAAAAAACAGTAACGGACTAGTAATATGATGGGATGGCCACCATGGAAGATCCAGAAGAATGTTATCTCATCAACAATCCATGCATTCTTATCCACTTATCCAGGAGAGCTTGAGTTGTACTGTTCAGGGTTACAGTACGTGACTCGTGGCCAAATAACAACCATTATAATATTGTTGATCATTCACAAAGAAAAAGTAGATTGATCAACTTGAACACTGGAAGTATAGTCTTCGACGCCAACTGTTGTTGCTGCTGCTTCACCTAATACAGAAAGAACAGAGAAAAGATTAAACGTCACATCTTAATATCTTAAAGCATTACTTTGTCACATAATACAACAAAGTCAGGAATAACAGATATAGGGAATCCTTCCATGTTTAGCAACATGCTTATAACATTACTTTGTCACGTAATGCTAAAGAGTAAAGAGTTGCAATGTTGCACCAAATATTACAACCAACACAAAAGTTCTAACAAACAAACGAACAACAAACAGAGTAAATAAAACATCATGGTGGCATGGTTAGAGTGGTTAACAGTAGGTATGTCAACAATACTCGGTACTTGGCGCCGACTGTAGGTTTCGG